GGAGGCGGCCGGCGGCCCCGAGCCTGCACCGCAGCCGTGCACCGCACCTCTACAACACCGAAGCCATGCACCACAGCCGAGCACCACGGCCCTGCACTGCAGCTGTGCACCATAGCCCTGCATCATCACCATGCACCACAGCCATGTACTGCACCTCTACACTGCAGCCCTGCACCCCAGCCATGTACCACAACCATGCACCATGGCCCTGCACTGTGGCCATGTACTGCACCTCTATGCTGCAGCCATGCACCACATCCCTGCAACACAGCTGCGTACCACAGCCACGTACTGCACCTGTACACCACAGCCACGTACTGCACCTGTACACTACAGCCATGAATTGCACCCGTGCACCAGAGCCCAGCACCACAGCCATGCACCATAGCCCTACATTGCAGCCATACACCGCAGCCATGTACCATATCCATGCCCTGCAGCCATGCACCACAGCCGTGCACCATAGCCATGCACTATCACCATGTGCTGCAGCCGTGTACTGCACCTGTACACTGCACCCATACACCACAGCCAGGCACTGCACCCATACACTGCAGCCATGCCCTGCTGGTTGAGCATGGATGGGGCTGCCGGGGCCAGGCAACCCCCATTTCCCAAGCAGCCAAGGCCAGGAGGGCAACGCTGGATCCATCTGCAGACGAGTGTGAGCTTAGCACGTTCAGTGTCTGATGGCACGGCATGGGGCAGCACAGCATAGCACGGCACAGGGAGAAGCAGGCTCCTGCCTCCCAGTTGCAATCAGTCAATGCCGGGAGGAGGTGACGGTGGCAGATCAGTCTTTATTACTGAATAAATAGTCGTATAAATCTTGTGCAAAAATTGGGTGGCAAAAAACCATTGACCTTGGTGGGTGGAGAGGGCCCTGTTCTCAGCACTCTGTCCGCAGCAGAGGTTCCCAGCACAGCGGATGGCCCCGGCATGGCGAAGTGAAGCAGTGGCGCTGGAGCTCATATGTGCAAGCTGGAGCCCCCCCAGCGCCACCGGAGCAGGGTCAGGACCTCCTGACCAGACTGGACCCGCACTGGGACAGCAGCTGCACAAATCCCTGAGGAGCAGATGAGCACCATCCAGCCCAGTCTGTGGTTTTGCCGGCTGTGCCACAGCCGTGCCGGGGGTCCGGGCAAAGTCTGTTGGCTCCCAGCGTGGCCGTGCTAGAGCAGGGAGCTGGAGCCCTGGCCATGCCGTCGCTCCCGTGCCTCCCCTGTCCCCACGGTCCCCAGCGGCACCACCACCTCCTCTGGCTGCCCGCTCTTGTTGAGCTCCACCACGCGTGGCACCACCGTGGACCAGCGATCTGCAGAGATGGGGGGTATTTGTCAGAGACCCTGTCCCAGGTCAGTCCCACACCACCCAGTCCCCAAAGCAAATCTGGCCCCGGGACCCATCAGGGGCTGGAAGCAGCATCCCAAGTGATGGGCCCAGCCCACGGCACCACGGTCACCTCTCCGCAGCCGGCCCACGGTGTGGGAGAAGCCATAGTACTGGTACGTGTCACTCTTGCCCGGGTCCTCGCTGATGATGCCCAGGTTCTGGTTCCAGTGGGACCAGTTCACCTCGTCCACTCTGCAGGGAAGGTCAGATCCACAGGGGCTGGGACACAGGGCAGCAGCTTCTGCATCCCTGCGCCATCCATCCCACCACCAGCAACGCCACCTTGTTCCAGTACAAACCACCCAGCAAATGATGAACGCACGGTGCTGACACCCCAAAATGCCACTGGTTGCAGTGGGAGAGGCTTGGCTGCTCCCGGGAACTCTCTGGGGCTCCCGCCTTTACCTGAAGCACCAGCGGCGATCAGGGGTCCCATCAGTGCCCTTCCCCACTGTCACCATCTCCCCCGAGCGAAAAGCTTTCCGCAGGAACACCGGGAAGGAGCGCTCGATGTCCAGGATGGTGGTGGCCCACTGCCGGGGACACCAAGGACCCCTCAGCCACTTGGGGACAGAGGTGCGGGGGTCCCTCACCCAGGTGGTGCTGTTTTGATGAAGCTTGAGGTGCTGCAGCCCCCCCATCCCAGGCACAGACAGCCCCTGGAGCCCCTGGGTGGTACCTGCAGTTTCCAGATGTGCTTGCTCTCCTTGGAGACTTGGCCCACCGTCTCACCCATGAGGGCGATGAGCATGTTGAGGAGGAGCACGAAGGTGAGGATGATGTAGGTGACGAGGAGGATGATGAAGACGCCAGGGTACTTGGCGCTCTCCAGCATCTCCAGGTCGCCCATGCCGATGGTGAGCTTGAAGAGGTCGAGCAGGAAGGTGCTGAAGGTTTGGCTGTCCCGGCAGGAGGGGTAGGTGGGCACCGTGCAGTTGGACGGCTCCTCCCCACAGGACTCGCTGCTGGGACACGGGTTGAGGAGGGACACCAGAGCTGGGGGAGGAAGGACAGGGGGGCTGAGCCTGCGGAAGGGTAGGACAGAGCTGGGGGTCCACAGCCCCCTGCCTGGCCATGCCACACCGTGCTGCAGGGCTCGTCCTTGCCCTGAGATCACTGGCCAGGCACCTACCTGAGGCATAGCCGATCATGAAGAGCAGGTAGACCAAGAGGAAGCGGAAAAGGTCTTTGAAGAGGATCTGCAAGTGATGGAGAGATGGGTGAGATGTGCTGGACCACAGCGGGGAGCCATCATCGAGCCGTGCCACAGGGACGGCCAGGCTGAGAGCAAGGCATCGGTGAGCCACAAGAAACCCTGAAGAAAGCACGGAGGACCCCCCCTTTTGGGCCATATATCCATAGAAGGACCAAGGAGAAGACCCTCGACCCTGCCAGACCTTCTGGATCATGATGCTGTAGGTCCCCGTCAGCTTGAGCCCACGGGTGAAGTAGAGGGCGTTCATCCAGCCCAGGACCAGCGCAAAGACCATGACGGCCAGGTACGCCTCGACGCCGCCCAGGTACAGCCCCGCCGTCACGATCACCAGCACTGAGTAGATGAAGCTGGTGGAGAACTGGTGTCAGACCCTGCACCCACAGCCACTGCCCAAACCTGGGGGTGCTGCAGCTCCGGGCGGCCCCGGGGATGCTCCCCACGTACTAAAGCAGCTGGAAGGAGCCGTCGATGAAGAAGGAGTTCACGCCTGGACACTTCTTCATGAACAGATCTTTGATCTGGGGGAGAGAGGGGCAAGTTGGGGGGGACCAAGACCCACTGCGCTGGTCCCCAAGCCTCCTATGCAGGGGGTCCTTGCATGGAGACCATGAGGGCTCAGCTACCCCACGGGAGTACCCCCCCTGCCTCGCCGCACTGACGTTTGTGAAGAAGAAGACGACGCCGGTGAGGAGGGTGATGATCTCCCCGGCCAGGCGCAGGTAGTCGACGGTGGTGGTGTACGGGTAGGGGGGCTGCAGGGAGAGGACAAAGCTGAGCTGCTGTGCCAGCACAGGTGGCACGGGGCAAACCCAGGGGGTCCCAGTCTGTGGGGCTGTGCCGTGGGACTCACGGGGCCTTCCATGGGGCGGTAGTAGGCGACGAGGGTGAAGATGACCATGGCGCAGAGGTAGGAGATGACGCTGATGTAGAAGGAGACGGCCCCGAACTTGCGCCACTTGTCGCGCAGCAGCTCGTTGATGGGCTCCACGGCCAGCATCTCGTGGCGGTTCTGGTGGGACATGGGCACCATCAGCGTGGATCCAGCCCTGCGTTGTCCCCCCTCAGACCCCTCCAGGCACCTCAATCTTGCTGTTGTAGACGAGGATCTCCAGCACAGACACCTCCTCCCCGCAGGTGTCCAGAGAGGAGAGGTCGTAGAGGGAGGAGTAGACGGGGCCGTACGCCCAATCCTTAAACTTCCGTGAGAGGTGCCGGGCGTCCTCGTCCACGATCTCCCTCCGGATGATGTGCTGGAAGATCTGCCGGAGGGAGGACCGCTGGCCCCTGCCCACCCCCTGCACCCCAGGGGTGCTCCCGGGGCGCCACCCCAGGATGCTGCAGCTTTGGCATTTTTGATGGACCCCTCCCCTCATCCACAGCACTGGAGGATGAGGGCAAGCAAGGGGGAAGGACAGGATGTGTGAAGAGCCTGGGGTTAATTAGGGAAGAGGGGGTTAATTAACTAGGTTAATGGGCTGCACGTGCAGGTTTCCAAGAGAGAAGCTGTGCTGCGGACAGGGACATGCACCGAATGTGACAGGGCTCAGCGGAGATGGGATCTCAGCCCCTGGGGACAGCAGGGCAGAGGTGTCCCAGCTTGGCTTGGGGGGGGGATGTCACCGTACCCC